GGGAAGAGGTCCACCTTTGAAACCTCTAGGCCTTTTTCCATGACCCAATTCTGAAATCTCTCCGCTCAGACTCACCTGTTTCACCCATGACCATACATGGGCCTGACCTACCTGGGATTGGGAGGGTCAGTAAATTTTTCCCAGGTCACTGACAGGTAACACATGTGGCCAGTGCCTGTGCTGGCTCTCTGCAACTGATCTGACATTGCAGTAACTGGGGAATGTGTTTCAGATACTGTGGTCCAATGTGTCCATTATGGTGTCTCATCTCCTCATAGGTCAGACAAAATGCCAAGCCTTTCCAGCCTCCCTTTTCTTAAAAAAAAATTTTTTAGTTGTAGATGGACACAATACCTTTATTTTATTTATTTTTATGTGGTGCAGAGTATCAATCCCAGTGCCTCACATGTGCTGGGCAAGAGCTCCACCACTGAGCCACACCCCCAGCCCTGTTCCTTCCTTTTTATGGCAGCTTTCTCTCACTCTGCTGTCTTTCCTTTTAAATTTTTAGTTATTGTTTGATTTTCATTAGTCTAATACACTTCACTCAACTTTCTATAGGCATGTATATTTTTTCCCTCTGGCCTCACTCCCTTACTCTTTTCTATCTCAGGGTTTGAGTGGGAGGGATACTTTACCTCCCCTGGAATCTCAGATGAGGAAAGGGGTGGATGTTCATGCAGAGGGTGGTGGGGCAGGTGATCCAGCTAGGAGGGCTGAGCAGCTGAATTCAGGGTGGAGCTGGGCCTGGCAGGGCCCTGGCTCCACTGAGAGAGAGAGGCATAAGGAGGTCTGTCAGCCACTTCTGGTTGGATATTTCAGGATGTATTCAATCCGCAGTATGAACAGAATTGGGGGTCTGAGGGATTAACTACTTTATTTCAACCATCACATTTTAAAAATATTAATGAATTTCATACATTTTACATTAACCATTGATTTGTGGTTTAGGCATTTATCCAAAGCTATTTGGAAATCACTTAATATAGGAAAAAGAAAAGGTATTTATTACAGGTTGGTCATAAAAGAAAGTTAATATTAACCTCATTAGTATTAGGATCATTTAAGTTTATACATGAAAAATATTTGTGGTTCAGTGAATGGTGTTTCTTTTCAAAGCAGCTGAACGGTGATCCTGATGAGCTGGGAGAGGACAGTGCTGATGTTAGGTGTCCCCTGCCAGTGCTGGTCAAGGATTCTGCCACTGTTCTTTAAGGAGACCTGACCTGCACTTTGTCACTGCTTCTACCCCTCCTGCCCAAATGGAGGGTAAAGGGCAACCTTGGGAGGGAGAATGTGCAGGTCAGGGTGAGATAAGCTTTCTGGCCTTGTAATTGAGGCAATTGAGAGTCCAAGGTCCCTTTCAGGATCTTGCTCACTTGAGTTACCTGGGGCAGGGACTGGGCTGGGCTGGAGATGTGGTGGTGGGAGGCAGTCTCCTGGCACATCTAGCCTCTCCCTCCAATAGGAAGTTAGTACCTTGATGACAGGGCTCATGGCTTTATCTCTGCAACTGTGATAGTGAAATGGCATAAGTAAAATTTATGTAGCACAGTTCTTGATACATAGTAGGGATTCAATATAATTTTGTTTTCTTCTTTGTGTCAGATTTCCCTTAGGATTCTAGGCATTCAGGAGTCTGCCCTTAGGGCAGTGATTGGTGGTGGCATTGTGGGGTGGTTGTGGCATTTCACCTCTAAGTGGGTTGTTCTGCAGTGTTCCTGGAAAATTGTGGGCACCCTCTTTTTGCTGCTCTGCTGTGCTGCCTTCTTCCTGGTAAAGGGAGCAATGTCCAGAGGGCAGGGCACACTCTGCCCAGGCTCCTTTTGTAAGCTTTCACTTTAGATGGTGGAAGGAGGCAGAGAGGGGTTGCTCCTCTAACTGGGAGAGCTTAGTGGGGGCCCCAGTGTCAGAGACTCTGCTGAGATCACTGCAACTTATGTCCAGCTCTGCGTTTCCCCATTTCCTGGGGACCAACTGCCCCTTGGAAATAAGGAATTTGGGCCCCCAGCATTGGACTCAGAAGCAGAGGACTGGGCCCTGAGAGCAGCTTGGGTCAGGTGCAAATTCTGAGGGCAGCTTTGGGGCTTTCTGGGGTCCTTGTGACTCTGATCTATCTCCAGCTGCTGTGTTTTGAATGCTTCAGGAAGTCACAGCCTTTCATAGGGGGGAGATCAGAGAAGCAGGTAAGTTGGCTTTGAAGACATCTGTGACCTAAGAGGAGGAAACCAGGGAGAAGCTGGTGGCAGGAAGGAACAGAGGATTAGGTGGTGGGAGAGGCAGTGGGGGTGGGTAAGTGAAACGGTTTGTTCTAGAAAGACCCAGGAGAAGTTTAATGAGGATTGTTCCTTTATTCATTTGTTTTAATGGTATTTCTGTAACATTTTCTGGGCCTAGGCCCTGTTCTAATTACATGTAGTGATTATAAATTCTCATCATTTTCATTACAAACTTGGGATATAGATGTTGTAACTATGCCCATCATACAGATAAGAAAACTGAGGCCAAGAAATTCATTTTGAGAGTGGCTGAGCCTGGAGGGCAGCCTAGAAGATGTCTCTCAGAATTTAGTTTTCCTTATACCACAGACTGCCTTCTCCCTGCTCCTTCCAAACAGTAGGTGATTTGGGGTCTTTTCTCTGACTAGGGCTCTTTTATCTCTATGTTCTGTCTCCAGGAAGGGTCGCTTACCTCTCAGGCAGAAATCTTTCTCAAAGAAGAAGAAGGCAAGGACAATCCTGTTGGTGGGGAAGTACTTGGCACCTGCCAAATGCAGCACCATGTCCTGAGCCCACAGTGGAAGGGACTGGGCTGAGATTTAGGTTTAGGTGAACTCAACATCTAAAAAAGCAGGACAGAGATCTGGGCTCCTGTGATGGGCACCACAGCCTCCTTGAGTACATGTCTGTCTCTGACACTGCCCAGGCCAAACCTCAGCATAATTAGGGGGTAGAACAAGAATAAAGTAGGAAGTCGATGTCCTTCCTGATAGGGGCCCTGAATCTGGGCCCTCCTTTCTGGGAGAGTCATGAGTGGTGAATAACCAAGAGATACAGGAATGGTTTTCACCACAGAGCTCCAGGTATGGGGACAAAAAAGGCCAAGTAGAGCTGCCCTGTGGTTGGGGTCGGAAAGAAAAGAACAGTTTCTTATCAGGTAATTCTATGGTTTCCTATTCCACAGTCTTCCCAGAACAGCTGAAAGAAGCCCGGACTCAGCTGTTTTTCAGTGTCTGGGTTGTGGCACCCTGTTAGTATGATGTGCCAATAGGAAATGCTTTGCTCCAGCAGGGGACTGCTGTCCAGCCCTGAGCTTTGCTCTCTATGCTGAGGTGCTAGAGCTCTGAGCTGCACCTGCCTCCTGCCTGCAGGTCTTGGCCCTCATCCCCATCTCTCTCCCCAGCTCTAAAAATATGGAAGGGCACTGCAGTCGCTCCTTGCTCTGCTGTCTCACTTCCCTGCTTCTCCTTGTCCAGCTGTCCATGGGTGAGTGTCCCATCAGTCTCCCTTTGTGGTTTTAAAAAGCAAGATATAAAAACATTTGAAAATATATTTTCCTTCATTTTTTAATTTTCTTGCCTTTGTGTGTGTGTGTGTGTGTGTGTGTGTGTGTGTGCTGTAAGCATTCATTCATTCATTTTATCCCTGAAATATTAATGCAATATTGATTGTTAGGTGCTATTCTATGAAAGAATCATACAGAAATGTTGTCATAAAGTTTACCTTCTAGTAGGAGACAGTGATAATAATTGCAAGTAGGCAGAGAGGCCTAAGTATGTTGGAAGAGATGACCGTGATGGGAAATGCAGCAGGGCAGGATGTGGGCAGTCAGGGGCATGGGAGGCAGGTGTGGGCATGTAGCAATGTTCAGTGAGGTGGTGTGGAGATGGCAATATATCCCTGGAGAAGGAGGAGTGAGCTGTTGGACCATTTAGAAGGAGAGTTCCTGCAAGTGGAGGAGCCTGTGCAGAGCTGGCAGTGTGCTGAGGTGTGAGGAAGCACAGAGGCCAGGGTTGGCTGGACTAGAGCCCATGGGGAGAGAAGCAGCAGGTGAGTTCAGAGGGGTCTTGGGAAGGAGGGTCCACCTTGTCAGGCCTGGGGAGAAGTGGGGAGCCATGTGGAGGCTTTGAGCAGAGCAGCAACATGGATTAGCTCATGTGTTAAAAGGATCACTGATGTCAGTAATCCTAGTCATCCTCCAGTTGAGATTTAATGGTGGCCAAGACCTGAATACAATGGTAGCAGATTTGAGAGTAGGTCTTTGGAGGCCCATTGCAGGGTGTCCTGCAGAGGAGTCAGAAGCCCAAGAGCACCAAGGGGTGGAGAGTGAGGTGAACTTGCTTCTTGAACATGCAGTGATGGGGGTTTCTGTGAACAACGAGAGGAGGATTTTCACAGCACTAAGTAGCATTTGACTGTGTGTTTTAAAGTGAATATGTATTTCTCTCCTTCAGTTTAGGATAAAAATATAGACTGAAGTAAAACATTTAGAATTGGAAGAGGGGAATTTCCTGGGTGTGGCTGAATGACCAGAGTGTGACCTAGGCCACAGGTATGCCCTTTGTCTGTTTTTAGGTTTGTCCTGAGACAGGGTAAGTTAGATCTGGGGTTCCCAATGTGTGCTCCCCAGACCACCCTTGGAATTCCTTGTACATGTACATTTGTTGGCTCACCCCAGATCTAGTGAATGAGACTCTCTGGAGTGGGGTTCAGTGATGTGTGCTCTATAAGGCATCCGATTGATTCAGGTGCATGAAAGCTTGAGAACCACTGAATTAGATATTTCTTCATGGAAGAGCTTGGGAGCAGGAGCGGAATACAATGAGGGAGTGTCCTTGACGTCATTTCTGGCCACATCATTATGATCAGAAGACCTCTTCCAAATCYATCAGACTGGAGGGCTCATCTCATGTGGCCCCTGCCCCAGCTTTCCTGGCCCTTCCACCTGATGTTGTATGTTCTATGCTTTTTGGTCTGTGTCTCTCTAGCTTCTTTCCCCCTATGTCTCTGTCCACAGAGCAGTTCCAGGTTTTGGGCCCTCGACACCCCATCGTGGCAGTGCGGGGTGAGGATGCCATATTGCCCTGCGCCCTAGTCCCAGCCATGAATGCAGAGAACATGGAACTGAGGTGGTTCCGCTCCACATTCTCACAGGCAGTGTTCATCTACTGGAACCAACGGGAACAGACTGAAGAGCAGATGGCTGAGTACAGAGGGCGAACCTCACTAGTGAGGGACTTCCTTTCTGAAGGGCAGGCTTCCATTCGTATCCACAAAGTCCAGGTTTCTGACAATGGAATGTACACCTGCTTCTTCAGACATGGAGGCTTCTCTGAAGAGGCTGATTTGGAACTGAAGGTGGCAGGTTAGTTACTTGACCTCTATTCTGGAGACCTTGGGAGTACTGGGTTTGGTGGGAATATCAGGGGTCATCCAATTTAGCCTCACATTTTATAGGTGAAATATAGCAAACTTGGCTCATCTTTTATTTATTGATGTAATACAAACACTGTATATGGAGCATCTAAAACATATGGGAACTTGTTCTGGGAACCAGAGACATGTCAGTGTAAAAGAGATCCCAGCCATGAGGAGTTTACCTTCTAGAGACAAAGGAAGAATAATTATAATAAATTATTCAGTACAAGATGTTATAAGGTGATAAGTACTTACAACAAAAGACCAAGTAGAATTAAAAAAAAGTGGCACAGTATGTGGGCTAGGAAGTTGAGGCAAGCTGTAGTGTTATATATAGTCTCCAGCAGAGCCTTATTGACAGTCTGAGCAAGGCTCAGAGGAAGTAGGTATTTAGGGGGGCAGAGTTTAATGCTGAGGGAGCACCTGGTATAAAACCTTTGAGTTGGAGTATGGTTAAATATTCTAGGTATAAAGAAGCCATCATGGTTGGTAGAAGGAGTGACGGGGAGGATGGTAAAAAGTGGTAATACTAGAACAAAGAGATGGTCCTGTATTAACAACAATGACAGGTGTCAGGATGAGGTCATTAGGAGTGGACCTGGGCTGGATCCCTGGATGTTGATGGTCTGGTAGGTGAAAAGGCAGGGGGCATACAACATGGTGATTGTGGCTACTTGCATTTGACCAGATAGTTCTTGGGGTTGAGTGTCTGGTTCCTGATGGTCTCAGATGGTGGAGATTGGGGAGAAGTGTTGGAGAGGAAGGCAGTTACCATTTCAGTAAAGGCTTTTTGTGCTGTGTTATGGAGTTTGGATGCAGAGTAGGGGGAATCCTAAACAGAGCCATGCTGGGAATGCTCATGTTGGCAGCTGTGAATGGGAGGATTGGAGGTGAGCAAGAACGAGGCATGGAGTGCAGTTATGATGTGGAGAGAATGAGTGCCTGACCTGAGGCATGGCAGTGGAGGGATCAGACAGGTTTAGAAATCAGATTCAACTGAATAGATTTGTGGGCACAAAGTTTGGAAAGGGAGGAGAAGAGTTCAGAGACTTCCAGAGTTTTATTTGAACCATTTGTTGTTTTGTGGCAGGACTATTGATAATTATGTGTCAGTTCTACTGCTGTAATAATGCTGTGTAACAAATAGCCACAATCTCAGGTGCATCTGGCAACAACAATGTATTTAATTCAGGCACTAAGGGAGTTCAACTAATTGGGGCTGAACTTGGCTATTCTCACCTGGGATTACTCACACATCTTTGGTCATGTTTCAGAAACATATTTAAAACCAGCATATCCCTTCCATGCTAGGAGAAATCACCAATTACACAACCAGAAAAAAAATTTCATCTTTCTGTTTAAAGCCAAACATATATAATCTCCTGTAAACTTGTTTTCAAGATGAACAATGAGTAATCTTCAGCTAAGATGGCTCAAAGCCCTATTTGTTCCACATAACATCCTAAATTTATCTGATAGTTTGGGAGACATCTGTGTCATCTAATAGGCTTTATCTGGAAGCAAAATAAACTCTTCCAGCTTTATGACAGGAAGCAGTTTTACAACTTGGAGCAAGATGCCCACATAAGTTAGGCTCTTACCTTTCCACAAAAAATGGGGCAAAGGGTTGCTATCTTCCCTGATGTTTACATATCAAAGAAATGGTTTCCAGGAAGTTGGGGCCTCAGAGGCGGGAGGGTGGGGGTGTGTGGGTGTGGGACCGCTGGCCCAGGCATGAAGAGGTGGTCAGGGAATGGCTGGCTGCGGGTGGGTGGAAGCCACAGCTGGGGGGCGGTGAGAGCAGCGTGGGGCTGCCCCTCCCCAGAGGTGGCGGGGGCACTGCGCGGGCATCCATGGAGCAAGCCTAGGGCCCGACAGGAACTGTGGGGGCACTCCAGTGAAGAAATGGATGAGTGTGTGTAATCATGGAATCTCCTTGCTGACCATCACCACCTGCTCTCCTTAATAAGTGAGAGAGTGGGTTAGGGAAGGAAGAAAAGAGGTCACCATGAAGCTTAAGCAGCGAGTTCTGCTGTTAGCAATACTCCCTGTCATCTTTATCTTCACCAAAGTTTTCCTGATTGACAACTTAGATACATCAGCTGCCAACCAGGAGGACCATAGGGCTTTTCACAGAATGATGAGTGGCTTGTGGGTGGAGTTGGCACCCAAGCTGGACCACACCTTGCAGTCACCATGAGAGATTTCAGCCCCATGGGTGGTACCCCTAGAAGTGTACCCTGAAGAGACACCAGAGCTGGGGGCAATCATGCATGCCATGGCCACCAAGAAAATTATTAAAGCCAATGTAGGTTATAAAGGGACACTGCTGAAAGCCTTACTGATACTTGAAGGACAGAAAGTTGTCTTCAAACCTAAGCGGTATAGCCGAGATTATGTGGTAGAAGGGGAACCATATGCTGGTTATGATAGACACAATGCAGAGGTAGCGGACTTTTACTTGGACAGGATTCTGTGTTTCTGCAGAGCCCCCTTAGTGGTTGACAGATTTGTCAATCTAAGGACAGATAGCGCGGCAATCAAACAAGCCCCCCCCCCCCAATAAAGGAAAAAAGAAAACCAATCATCTAGGGCTGGTGTTGTTACGGAGCAGCTGTTGAGCACCTTCCTAGCTGTAGGAAACAATACTTGTTTTTATGGGAAGTGCTATACTACCTTGAAACAGAGCCAGCTTGTGCAGATGGAGACACAATGGAGGGATCTATCACGCTTTGGCTTCCAGATGTGTGACCTCTGCAGAAACACTGACTCTCATGGGGCAGGACTTACCAAGAAGGCAAATTGGCCAGGTGGGAGTATGATGAGAGCTACTGTGATGCTGTGAAGAAAACATCCCCATATGACTCAGGCCCATGCCTCTTGGACATCATTGACACCTCTGTCTTTGATTACCTGATTGGCAATGCTGACCGCCATCACTATGAGAGCTTTCAGGATCATGAAGGTGCTAGTATGTTCATCCTTCTTGATAATGCCAAAAGCTTTGGGAACCCCTCACTGGATGAGAGAAGCATCCTTGCACCTCTCTATCAGTGCTGCATCATTAGGGTTTCTACCTGGAACAGACTGAACTACCTAAAGCATGGAGTGCTAAAGTCTGCCTTAAAATCTGCCATGGCCCATGATCCCATCTCCCCTGTGCTCTCTGATCCTCACCTGAACACTATGGACCAGCGGCTCCTGAATGTCCTGGCCACTGTGAAGCAGTGCACTGACCAGTTTGGAATGGAAATTGTGCTGGTAGAAGACAAGATGCCTCTGTCCCACTTGTAACTGTCAACTGAAAATAAGTGAAGCATTTTTTACAAAGATAGAGAAACAGCACAATCAATTCCAAATGGTATGAGATGGCTTTAGAAGTGGCCAGCAGCAAGTTCTGGTGGTGGAGGACAGGGTGGCCTTGGGTGTCTTTGTTTTTTTCTGTAGTGGAAGCTAAAGCAAAGACCACAAGTGTCAGAGCTTGGGATGTTCCTGAAAAAACACCTTCCAGCGTCCTCAGCAGTTGCCCATTTCTAGCAGTGGTCAGCAGCATTGGTCAGTCTGTGTTCCCATACCAAAGGACATACAGGCGTGACATTTGGATAAGTGAATGCTGGGATTGCTTCAGAGTGTGTATTTTGAGGAGAACCTTGCAGTCCTTTCTCCACACCTGTGAATTTTGTGGAAATACTTTACGATCTCTTGTGTCTTTTTTAGGAAGACTAGTCTAATTTGAAAGCTTACTGCCTCCTACAGAGTGGCAGCAAATAAAACTTTGTCAATTGAGCCAAAAAAAAAAAAAAAAAAAAGAAGAAGAAAAGGTTTCCAGGTCCTTGAGAAAGGCATTCCTGATCCACAAAGCTGGCAGAAAACCTAACCAGTTTTCAAAATCATATATAAACATTTCAAAAGAGGAGAAAGTGCTTATTTGTAATTGACATTTCCTAAAGCAAATGGTATAAGAAAAAGAAATAAAATCTTTTATTCAACAGGGAGAATTAAGCTTTTTACTTGTAGTTTTTATTTGTTCTTAAGTCACCTGGAAAGTTCCCCAGGTGCACCTTGGTTGGGTGTGCTCAAGTTTCAGGTGGTCATGTGGCTGAACTAGGGCAGCTGTAGCAGGTTGACCAGGCAATGTTACATGAGTCCATCCTCCACTGGGCAGCCCAGGATTGCCCTCCTGAGGAAATGGAAGAGAGTAAAACCAAGGTGCAAGTGGTTTTCAAAACTCTGCACAAGTCACATTAGCTAATTCGTCATTGGCTAAATGAAATTCCATGTCTGGGCCCAGAGGCAGAAGGTAAAGGCAATAAAATGTGTGTGGAAGTGGGAGAATTTGCTATACAGAAGGGTGAGGAATTGAGGACATTTTAATAATCATTTTATCACAAGTGGTGCAAATTTATGAATTCAGTTGTGGAGTTTTGAGTTTGAAGTGTATGTGAGGAAACCTGGTAAAGATAACTTATGGGAACATGGGTGTAGGGGAAGAGAATTCAGGAGACAAGGTGGTCACTCAATATAATTTTGGAAGGATATACACAGAGAGGTAAATGTCCCAGGAGAGTGTGTGAGGTGAGAACTGAGATTCAAGGAGGGTGCCCTGGGACCCAATTCTTCCTGTTTCCTTTGGGTCTCACAGTTCAGGAGAAGAACCCACTGCCCAGTGTGGGTCCCTGTACTCCTTCCTTTTATTCCCTTTTCCCATAGAACTCCCAGAATTGAACATGAAAACCTTCCCCCTGAAGTTGTGTAATATCTTGGCAACTCTGGGGTCTTAGGGCCCAAGGCGGCTCCTGGGGCTCCACAACTTCCTTCCCACAGGGATGGGCTCTGACCCTCAAGTACACATAGAAGGGCCAGAAGAGGATGGAGTGTGCGTGGTGTGCAAAGCCTCAGGATGGTTCCCAAAGCCCCAGGTGCAGTGGAGAGACCTCAGTGGAAACAAGTTCCCAGCGCTTTCTGAGGCCCACACCCAAGACACTGAGGAGCTGTTTAGTGTGGAGGCCACTCTGGTGGTGAGAGACAGTTCTGTGGGGAATGTGACCTGCTCTGTCYTCAACCCTGTCCTGGGCCAGAAGAAGGCCATGGCTATTTACATCCCAGGTCAGTGCTGCTTCCCACTCCCAGCAGAGCTGTGGGGAGGGCTGGCCTCTCTGAGTGTGCTGGCTCTCCTGGGTGTGCCCCTGACCTGCTGTCTGCCTGGGCCACAGAGCCCTTCTTCCCTCAGGCTTCTCCCTGGAAGCCAGCATTTGCTGTGATCCTGACCATGCTGGGGCTCCTACTCTTGGGGGCTAGCTATTTAAGCACCAAAGAACATTCCAGAAGGATGCAGGTGAGGCAGGAAAAGGAGCATCTGCGGCGGCTTAAGGAGGAGGAACAGCAGGCAAAGGAAGAGACACTGAAGGCCATTGGTAAGACTGCAGAGGGCAAGTGCGGTGGTGAGTGGGACAGCTGACAGGGGACACAGTCTGGAGTCCAGCTCTCTAGGGAGATCCAGGGTCCTGGGCCCAGAGGAGGTGACTGAAGAGATCAGAGGAGAGTGAGTCTGGTGGGGTTGGGTGAGTTTGTAGTTAGAAATTCGAGTGAATAGAAACATTTTTCCTAGGTTTTTCCAGGCACACAGTATTTCCTTTTCTTGGGGATTGGTGTTCATACTTTTTTTTATTTTTTATTTTTAGATGAACTCGAGGGAGATCTCAGTAAGTTCTTCTTTCCCTTCTGAATTTTCTGTTTCCTTGATATCAGATGTTCTACTTCCTAGCTCCCTTATTTCTTTTTTTTTTTTTCCAGATCAGAGGAAATCTGCTTATCTGTCTGGTAAGTGACTCTCCAGGTGTCCCTTGTTTCCTTATCTTACCTGTGTCCTGGTTTCCCCTCTACTTGTTTCTGTCTAGGTACAGACATGTGGGGCCCCATCCCTGAGAAGCTAGTGGAAGCCAGAACACTGGTCCCTGGACATTCCGTGATCTGGGCTGCTATTTTCTTCCTAGTGCATGGAAACCTGGGTGTGATGGTGACCCGTGGTTTGTCATGTATTCTGCCTCTTATTTCAACCTTGGCTTGTACATTATATTGGCTTTTTTTTTCCTTCAATGCATCTAGCTGTTGGACTGCACCTAGAAGATTAAAGGCAGATAGGATGATTTTATTAAATGATCTATATAAGTAAATGGTGTCATTAAGTTTAGGAGTGTGACCTTCTGTTTGTGTCCCTACAAATCATCATGGAGGGATTACATTTTCTCCAGCTCCTGAAGGTGCTAATCCAAGTGGGCTGCTCATTACAGGTAGAAATGTGGTGGAGTGAACCATGTACTTCCTAAAACGTGGTTCTTTTTGTGTAGAAATATTTCACATGTGAAAAATTGGGCAGTTTTACCCCAGAACTCTTTCCTGTCTCTATATCTTTCTTCATTTTTGGTAATTTCCCAAGTGTCTTTTTTAATTTTAATTTTATTTTTTCATTTGTAGTGCTGAGGCATGAACTTGGAGCCCCGTGCATGCTAGATAAGCCCTCTACCATGGTGTATATGCCACCCCTTTTCAAATGTATCTTTCCTCAAAAAAGCCTGGATATAATAATACCCTTGACAATTGTGGAGTGAATTATATTTTATTCTCTCAAATGTTTTCACACATCGCAAAATTTTTATCCTTAGTGGCAAAACTGAATAAAGACAGATACAATACAGATTTTTATGAGTTTTGAGGCAGACAGTTTCCTGACAGAGAGAAATCAGCGGGACAGTGGTAGTAGTTGGCCTGTAAAGCAGCCGTCTTTATCTGTGGTCCAGGGGATTTCCCACAACTCCCTGTGGACCCTGCATACTGCATGAGGCCATCTCTTTCTGGCTCTCTCCTCCTGTGGGTAGTTTCATGTTTTGAATGGAGGGGAGGCCACGGCAGGTACATTCATGCTGAGCAGGCTTGTTTTAGCTGTGGTCTCACTACCATGTGTTCCCTTTCAGCCTGGAGGAAGGCCCACCTGTATGCAGGTAAGTGACTCTGATGTTTCCTTGGCCTTCCCTCCTCCAGGCTCCTCCTCTGCCTTCTGTATCAGTGGCCTCCACCTAGGATGGGATGGGTTTCTTGCTGTCTCGTTTTTAATTTGTTTCCCACACCTCCCAGTAAACACTTTAAATTCTCTTGTTTTTTTTTAACTTTCATAATCATCACACATAATCTGTCTTCTACCCAAACTCACCAAAGCCAAGCACAACAGGAAAGCAAAATTCTCCTAAAAGGAGAGAAAAATGATTGTAACTTGCACTGGAAGACCACAGTGACTTCTTGTGTTTGGATCACAGAACTCAATTCATATTCCTATCTTTTAAACATTTTTGATTTTATTAAACATTTTTTTAGTTGTATATGGACAGAATACCTTTATTTTATTTTTATGTGGTGCTGAGGATCAAATCCAGTGCCTCATGTATGGTAGGTGAGCACTCTACTTCTGAGCCACAACCTCAGCCCTAAATTATTCTTCGTTTTTGGTAATTTCCCAAATGTATTTTTAAATTTTTTTTAGTTCTTTATTTTGTGGTGCTGAGAAGTGAACCATTTCTAGACTTATTCTCCCCTGCAGGTTAGGGTTAGCTGTACCCCCTGAAAACATCACATTTAATGTGTATTTGTTGTTGGTGTAGTGACACTGGAGAGTTCAGTTGTGAGCAGAGCCTGGATGGAGCAGGGTTGGAACTGTGAATAGAAATTGCTGATTTCCAAAAAATTTCAGAAATCATATTTGACAGTTTAGAAATTTCATCTTCCTAATGTGGGTTCTGTATTCCCTTTGCCCCAGATTCCTACTGTTTGGGTCCAGGTTTGGTTTTCTTGTTTTTTTTTTTTTCTGGGCTTCTGGATATTATTCTTCTCTCAACCACCTCCTACTCTGACTCATTGTCCTAGCTGGGTTTCTTCTAAGCACCTTGGTTTTTGAGATATGAGTTTCTGGTGTTCAGAATTTGGGTCCAGGATACTTAGGGGATCTGTGAACCATTTGAAATTATATACAAAGTCTGTGTTTGTGTTTCTGTTACAGGAATACAATGCAATTTGTGATGTTCACAACAATTTTCTTTGCTTTTAAGAAAATTTTCATTTGTATGTAGGTCTTTGATTTTTTTTTAATGTGTGAAGATCATAGAAGGAGAAACCTGGATAGTTTAGTATTGTTTACCTGAGAAAGAGTATGGAACAAATCAGAGAAGACAGGATGAGGTGGTAGGAGAGAGGAGATGGGAAGGAAAGTAAAGTGCCCAAGACTCACATAGACATTTTGGGTGTGCTGAAGCAGTGAGAGCTGGAAAATCACATCCAAGGTGATTTGAGTTGAGTGTGAAGAGGATTTGCAGGTTCTTTATGTGCATGAAATGTAACCAACACCTTGATACATCTTTGAGAGTTTTCTGTGAATACGTGTGTGTGTGTGTGTGTGTGTGTGTGTGTGTGTGTGTGTGTGTGTATTCCATTAAGACATTCCTAAGTAATCATCTCATTGAGTTTGCCTGTGATAATGAGACCACTTCTACCTTCCAGTAGCAGTTAGGACAGGCACATGCTAAGGCAGTTTCCAATGCAATGAAAGATTATCCAGAGGACTCTTTAACTCTGGGGGTGAGTTTAGGATCTGTGCCCTCTGAATTTATATAATATGCCCTTTTCCTGATCTGGTTGTTTCTTTTTCACATCAGGGATATAGATTGTGAGATACAGAGCAGGGTGAGCCATGGCGTCAAGGAGGCTTTGGATTCAGATATATGAGGAGCACTCTTTGAGAATCTTAATGATTTTCCTGGGGACATGTTTATTAAAAAAGAAGGATCACGTAGTCCTTTTTTTTAACCATCTCCCCATTCTCTGCTGAATTGATGTCTATAAGTTTTCATGTATAACTTGCATACTCTTTTATTTTGTAAGGATAAACACCATTACTATACTAGAATCAACACTGTCATATTGACAGGTGCATAGTGTGAGGTGGACAAATCTCTATTTCATCTTGTTCATGAAATTGTAACAATGAGTTATAAATTAAAATTTTTCTGTGGGAATTATATGAAGGCTGCATTAAGGTGCATAGCATGGTACTTGACACACTGGGAAGTTTCAAAATGTTTTCTTCATTTGTTCCTTCTCCTTTTCTCCCCTGTCTGCTTCCTTCTCCACTCTTTTCTTCTTCTTTGATAATCTCCGTCAGTTATTATATATAAAATTATAATTGGTTTTCAACTAATGTCTTGGTAAAAAATTAGCAAAGTTTATTTTTCTTCAAGGGTCATCTGGGTCTGCTCAGCCATTTTATATGATCTAGTTTTTATCAAGCAGCTCAACAAAGATGGAAATACCCATGTAGGTGATTGAACCTGTATTAGTGAAAATAGGGGGTGCAAATTTAAACACAAATCTTTAAGGAAGAAAAATGTTGTTTAGTTATTATGTTAATCATTCTAATCTTGTTCCTGAGGCTCTTCCCTATTGGAGGCAAAACCTTTCCAGTTGAAGACATTTTGGAGTGTATGATATATGTAGACTTTGCTTTGGTCAATGACCTTCCTATCCTCTTCCCAAAAGGGAGTATGGCAGTTTTATGAGACTGATGTGGCCTTGGGACAGTGGGGGAAGAGGGACCATGTGTTGTATCTTAGTTATTTCAGGTCTTCTCCATCAGGAGGCTAGTCTGAACTGGTTCATAAAACTTGTGGGTTGGTGTCTCCTGAGACACCCCATTTCATTGCCTGGTACCCCTTCCTCTGACCCTGAGGTAAAGTTCAAGGTTTGTGTCACTTATTCCTGGTTGACATTGGACTTTTTCCTCTGATATTTTGACCTTTTCTGGTTCACAGACTCACTGGTCACCTGTCTTTTCACCATCTAGCAGAGCGTGTGAGATTTTCCTGGTAGTCAGCTTTCTAAGTTCAGGAGACAGGGAGGTTCATGGTTTCTGCAAGCACATTTCTCTGCCAGTGCTTTGTTCCACATGGGGTGTGTCATCTATGTGGGCATATTAGTTTTCTTTTTTTTATTAGTTGCTCAAAACATTACAATGATCTTGACATATCATACATCATACATTTGATTCAAATTGGGTATGAATTCTTATTTTTCCCACATGTATAGATTGCAGGATCACAATTGTTATACAGCCAAGTTTATTCATACTGCCATACTAGTGTCTGTTGTATTCTGCTGTCCTTCCTATCCCCTTCCTATCCCCCCTCCCCTCCCCTCCCATCATCTCTCTCTATCCCATCTGCTGTAACTCATTTCTCTCTCTCTTTTTTCCCTTCCCTCTCACATCCTCTTATATGTAATTTTGTATAACAATGAGGGTCTCCTTCCATCTTCCCTGCAATTCCCCTTCTTTCTCCCATTCCCTCCTACCTCTCCTCCCTGTTTAATGGTCTTCTCATGCTCTTCCTCCCTGCTCTGTTTTGAGTCGCCCCCTTATATCAAAGAAGAGATTCAGCATTTGTTTTTTAGGGATTGGCTAACTTTCTATTTGCTGCCAAATTTCTACAAAATTAGTAGCTTGGGGCTGGGGTTGTGGCTCCGTGGTAGAGTGCTTGCCTAACACATGTGAGGCCCTGGATTCGATTCTCAGCACCACATAAAAAAATAAAGATATTAACAAGTACAACTAAGAAATAAATATAAAAAAATAGTAGCTTAAACCAACACAAATACATTATCTTACATGTTTGTAGGCCAGAAGTCCAAGAAGGTGTGGACAAGGCTGTGTTTCTTTCTGGAGGCTGTTGTCTTGTGTGGTTTCTAGAGGCCATCTGTATTCCCTCACTTAGGGGCCTGTTCTTTCATCTTCAAAGCCAGCAGCACAGCATGTTTTTGACCTTGTTTCTGTGATTCTATCTGCCTCTCTGAAACAGCCAAGAAAGATCTCTGTTCACAAGGATTCATGTGATTAGTTTGGACTCACACAAGAATCCAGAATAATCTTCACACATTCACACTTTATGGAGTTTAGGACTTTGGTTTCTATCATAGCTGGGAATTTTAAAACTCTTCAGGCAATTCTTATGGTAGGCAAATGACAAGGTCTAATTTTTTTGGGTTATCCCATATCTGTAAGGATGCTTTTCTCCTATTGGTCTATGAGAAGTGGAAGAAAAGTAACTAGTGTTGACCTCTCACTGGATATATTTGTTTCCTGTTTTGAACTTCTTTCTCTCCAATCTTAATACCCTTTCCATTGCCATCTAAATAAGATTTCTCTGAGTTCCCTGCCCTCATGATTTATAGACATCCTCCAAGTTCAGCTAAGCTAGATGTAATTCTCTACTCATGGCTTGGAGTTAACCTTACAAGTTCAGCATAGTCAGTTCTTTATAAGTAAATGGAGGTCTTTGAAATTTTGTTAACCTCAATTATATCTCAAGATAACCCAGTTTTCAGGATGGTTGTGTGTCTTTGTCTTGAGAAAGTATTGTTTGGTAGCTAAACCTGAACAGTGACATTTCAGATAGATACCTAGCATTTTGATCCCAGGGTGTTAAGCTTTTGGGCTTAGTCTTCATGGGAAGGCTGCAGCAGGATGTGTGAGTGATGTGTGTATATAGGTGTGTGTGTGTGTGTGTGTGTGTGTGTGTGTGTGTGTGTGTGTAAGAAACAAATACAGCAGCTGAATGTTTTCAAACAGATTTTCACTTCTTCCTCCCACATTGCTGTGTTTTAGAAGACTGGGTGCTGACCCTGATGTGTAGAGACTCTGCAAATTCCTGATATGAGATCTGTGTTCTTTCGTAGATTGGCGGAAGGAACGGTTCCAAGCCTGTGAGTGTCTGTGTGCTTCTAGATGTTCCTCCTGTTGCCCTCATGGCTTCTGGCTTCTCCTTAATCTCTCTGTGGTGATTCAGATGCTGGCCTCATCAATGGTGTTTCGGGGTCAGAAGTGATGGTCACAACACTGGTACTGGTACTGTCACAAGTCTGTCCCTCAAATCAGCCTCTGGATCCTTCTCCTGGTTGTTGATGTGGGCTTGAGTTATAAGACTCATATCTCAGGAGGCTTATCCCCTCCTCTGCTCAGGCAGCTCTGTGGCTGTGAGGTGGTGGGTGGCTGTGTGCTTTGTCTTGGGGCAGGTGAGGACCTTGCATGACTGATAACTCTCTCAACAGGGCCTGTCACTCTGGATCCAGACTCTGCTCACCACAGGCTTTCTGTCTCTCATGAAAAAATGCGTCTGTTCTGGAAGGACCCCGATGTGTACCATGTCAAAAAATGCAGTGTGTTGGGTCTTGAGGGCATCACATCAGGAAGATGGTACTGGGAAGTGGAGATAGAGAATGAATTACACAGCAAGTGGACTCTGGGTATCTGTAGGAAAGATGTGAGAAGAACAGACAACTACTTCGAATCATCACAAAGGGGATTTTGGGTCATGGGAAAAGGTAACAATAGTTATTTTGCCCAAACTGATCCTGAGACTTGGTTATATCCTAGACAGGATCTTTACAGGGTGGGGGTTTTCCTGGACTACAGTGAAGGGGATGTCTCCTTCTATAACATGATTGATGGGTCCCACATTTTCTCTTTCCCTCCTGCC